TCATCACATTTGTGGTGTTTCACGAGAGCACAGTGGTGCAAGAAGTGAGCAGTGAAACAAGCAGGTTTAGGCTTTTTTTTATTTCTCATTTCCTTCAAGTAACCACAGATAAAACTTAACAGCAGCAGATTTAAACTCTCATATACCTTAAAGGATGGAAGTGAAGAAGACTGGAGGTGTTTTTAAGTCGCTCTTCAGCTACCAAAAAAACAAACAAAAAAATAACCTCATGACCGCTTTAAAGAGTTCCCATTATGTGGAATTCAAATTTTCCACGTTTTTATGCTTCCAATTGGATCTCAACTACTTCTGAAAACAGTCCAGGCACTTAAGAAAAACCACCCGGACGGTTCTAGGCAACAAGTTGATGCTTTTTGGTGTCTGGAAAACAAGCCGCTTCATAAAGATCTTGATTGTTAAGTCAAGACTGATGAGCGCTGTGCTGTTACCTAGCCACCTGAGCTAAGCTCCAGCACATTTGGTCACCTGGTTTTTTTTGCACAATGGCTGCTGGAAAAGACTAGCACTTTGTTGTTGACTTACCATCCAGACACCACTGGCTTAATTCTTGTTGGTTGTGCAGACAGCTTCACTTCTGCTTTTCAAAGACATATGGTTGTATGATTGAGCGTCTGTTTACAGCTATTTTCATGTGTGAATGTACATGATGGACGATCTGGCCAGCAGCAGCTTATTTGGATTTAAAGTGACAATGCCGTAATCCAGCCCATTCTACCAGGAGCTGAAAATAGACAAAACTGACCAGGCTAAAAACTCATCGAAGAATTATTTTGTGGAAAAATAATTAATGAACGTGTTTTGTAAAGTCCATAGACCTATCCTAGCCTGTTCAGGAAAACATAATATTAATAAATCTGACTTTCTGCATCAGTACAGGACAGCAGTGTCACAAACTTTTTTCCCATTTTGCCCATAAAAACAAAATAAAATGTATTTTAGTAGAGTATACTTAAACCTTCTTAAAATTTCTACAATTTAACCAGGGAGTGTGTAATGTACTGCATGCAGGATGTAAAAATGCAACAATAAGAGAACACACGTTGTTTAAAATTTGAAAATGTTGCCTGCAGTTTTCCCCGTTTGCGACAAAAAAAGAGAGCCCATGACTACATAATTTATTCCCAGCAAATCCAGCTATAAACTGAGATCTTTATCCAGAGATATAAAGGCGTCAGAGTTTAGTAGAGAACATAAACAAACAACATCATGAAAACCAGGGAATAGAGCAGGGAGGTCAGGGAGAAAGTCGAGGAGAAATCTGAAACACGCCTGGGTCATAAAACAAATTCTTAAGTGTTGAACACCTCACAGAGCCACGTTCAGATCTATCATGAAAATGGAAAGAACTACGAAGACATGGCCGCCAAACCTGAACCAACAAACCAGACAAGGACGACTTTAGTTTGAGAAACAACCAATAGGTTCACTGTAACCCTAGAGGAGCAGCAGTTTTCAGCTGCTCAGGTGGGAGAAACACTTGACATCGAAACGGAAGATTTTTATTAGTAAATGCAAATACTTTGTTTGGATCTACCACATAAAATCCCAATGAAATCCACTGGGGATTTTGGCTGTCAGGTGAAAAAATATGAAAAATTTGGGGGGATATGACAGAATACCTCTGTAACCACTTTAATTCATAAATCAAAGCTAAAAAAAAACGACATTTAACTTCTCAACATCCGCCGCTTCCACAAGCACGTTCCTGTACGCAAACACACTCTCGCACAGTTTGAGTGTAATCCTCTCAACATGAGCGGGAATTTCACAGCAGCCGTGGGAGCAGGAGGCCAGGATGACGCATGGGCCGAGGCCGTGTCCCCTCAGCGGAAAGCCGGCACATACGCACATGTCCACACACAATGAAGGCGTCCTGATTCAGGGAATTTCCACCATGTGCGCGGCAGGCAGAAAAGAATAGGAAAACCGGAGTAAAAATAATAATTACAAAAGCTGAGTGATAAAAGGAACACTTCAAAACAAGCAGGCCTTTTCAAGTGTGTCGGCTCGTTGCCACATGCTGACTGTGGGCTCCATTATTAGCAGACTGCAGGTTTTCTCCATATGAGGGGCACAGGGAGGCCTGCTCTCCAGCACTTCGCTCCATATGGGGACGGTTACGGTGCATGTGTGATTCTGTGCTCCTCTTATAAGTTCATCAATCTTTAGTCATCTTGATGTCTTGAAAGGATTCATTTCTCCAGATTCTTAATGTAAGAATCTCTCGTGCAATGATGGGCAGTAACGCGTTACTGTAATATGATTTTATTTTATTTTTTTAAAGTATCAAGTAAAGCAAGGGATTAGAAATGGGAAAAGCAAGAATTTTGTTTTTGAGCGTCTCGGGTGGTGTCCATGCCATATTTAAAACTGACATTAATTTAACTCAGTGACAAAAACATTTCATGAGTGGGAAGAAAACGTCTCCAGTGAAAACCTTCACTTCAAATATGAGAAGCCGCAGAAACCTCCGGATCCCCCCTCTGACATGACCGCTGTGCATACTGGATCTAATTCCACTGGACAAACCTCCGACTGTCCCTCTCCTGCTAAATAGGAGATAATAGGTTTTTTAAAGCTCATTATTGCTCCATCTGTTAAAAGATGACAACATGAGTAATTTGGAGCTTTGTGAGGAGTTTGACATAAATAATTTTATCTGTGAATTTTACATATTTTCGAACACAAAAAGTAAAAGTATTTTACAAGCCGAAATAGGAATAAATACAGTTCAAATGAATTTTTAAAAAATATATAGTGCAATTTGAAGTGAAATGTTTAAATATTCCCAGAGGTTCTTCTTTATTTGACTATTTTCTATGATGGAATATGCAGGAAAAAGACAATTACATTGAAAGGTTTGTTGCTTTATAGCGTATTCAGGCTGTGCATTGCTTTTAACTAAGTAAATGAATATTAAAGCAACTAATTACTACTGAAGATAATTAATCAGCAAACTAACTGGATTATTTTCTTGGGAAAGTGATCAGAAATGAGTAATTAATTACCATTTCCCCGTACCCTGACGAACACTGCCCTCATGTTTGGTTGAGGGTGCAGCATCTTGTTAGCTGATCTTCTTGCTCTAATTCTGAAGTGACACCACGTCATACATAGTGTCCAACAGGGACAAACCAGGGGAACCTGAGGACAAGATTGCGGGAAGGACTAGCTGGCAAACAACCTCCAAGGCTGGTCCATCAGCCAGCACTAAGACCCGCTATATATAAGCACTTACCAAGGCCTAAGCTCCAAATCTACTCCAACTCCAAACGGATGGACAAGCTATAAATGCAAAGCCAGACAACAAGTATTTCTTTCTATCTAAATCTGGGAGGCTAAATCCAGATTGCTAGTCTCAATAATTGTGCCGATAAATGTGGGCAAACATAAGCAGTCTCTAAATGCCGGCTGTCCTCATGGGACCCGGTCTGTAACGGACATCGTCCTAATCTCACCAGTAAACGGGCGTTTTTAAGCTGCTCTATGGACCAATCCAGTGCATTTCCCTCCCTTATGTGGCTTTCTTTAAAGTGCTTAACCTAATCTCGGCTGTCTTTTAAAGACACAACGAGTCGGAAACTAAAGAAGGAGTGAATGAGACGGGATCAGACCAGAGAAGTTCCTCAGGGTAATGGAGTTGCTGTTAGATTCAAATGAACATGAACGGACAAAACTGTGAATATACAGAAACCAGAGCACTGGATTTAGAGAATACTTATTCTGTTTTTGTCAAAGTCTAAATGCAAAAACATTAAACAGATATTCCAACTTCAATATTTCAGTTTAAGCAGCAGTAGGAATAATTGTTTCTTCTTTAAAAATTTCATATCAGGTTAAAGATTTTATACAATTTGTGTAAAATACGAGGAGGTTTTGATTTAGAATTTCCTCATACTGGAGCTTTTAGCTTTTCATCTAAAAAAGCTGCTTTGTGAGATTCAAACCTAGGACATCCCTGTAATACACTAATGTACTTGGCAGAGAAGGTGTCAATGGATAAAACCTGAACCAAAAGGTGTAAAGGCCTTATTGGGCAATTGGGTTACTGCTGTAACTAATTGGAGAATAACAGCGGCTAAATTTATCCCGTCAAACCAATAAGGTTATTTCTTTTGTATCTAGACTGAGATGCATGCTCACTGTTGTCTTCATGTCTGTCACAGTTACAGGCTTTACATCTGCAGCATTCACAGATCACTTCCCAAAAGTCCATCTTTTTCAGGTTTTAGGATTTCATTAACCCAGTTTTGAAGTTGTGGCTCATTAACCTCAGCACTGACTAAAAAAATGTATGTTACTTTTTGCCCTGATACCTCCATCAGTGTGTATAGCAAAACTTACCAAGCTGAAATTGACTATATTTAGTTCACCAAAGCAGTTCTCGCACTAGAACCAAACTTTCTAGTCAAATGAACTGTTGTTCATTTAAAACGGAGAAAGTTGGTCAAAAAGCTCGGTTTATTTGGGAGGTGTGAATGCTAATCAAACTCTGATGTGGAACAAAAAAGCAAAATCTGCTCCACTACAAACTTAGGGCTTGTTTCGATTAAAGTGAACTCTGGCACAGTTCGAATGCACCAAGTGAACCAGAGACTGCTCCAAAAGCAGGAAGCAAACTATAACCGCAAGGCATTCTGGGTAGATTCGTGATCTTTTGTAGGATTACATGTTACATTTCTACACTACTTCACGTCCTTTGATATTACCGTGTCATTTCCTTCAGTGGCTCTTGGTGCAGCGCCACCACAGGTGAGGGGGTGAACAGGTTTTTCAGAGGGTCTGGATCATTTGACACATTAAAGTGTGAAATCAAACCATACCAGGTGAAGATGTAACAAATACATTTTTTTTGTCTTGATGGAGTTTTGTCTGCTGAAGCTTGTGAGGTTTATGAGATTGTCTGAATTAGCAGATGAAACAGTGATAGCCTCGCTCTCACAAACAATCACCCTCAGTCAGTCAAACTGTCGGCCTACCTCAGCGCCCTGCTGAGCTTGTCGTAGTTCATCTGTGGTTTGCACTTCCTCGCCCCCCACAGCCGGGCCACCTCGTCCGGGTCCTTGATGACAAACTCCCCGTAGTCGCCTTGCCACGCGATGACATCATGATACTCTTCTTTCCTGAGCAGCTCCAGGATGAAGTGCCACAGCTGGATCTGCCTGGACCCGGGGCTCGACTCTGGCTTGTAGGCCCATTCTGGAAAGGCAAACCCTGCAGCAGACAGAGCAAACATCAACCAGGTGAGTGGTTGGGATCTGAACTTTGCCCGAAACCACAAACAAAGTGGTAGTGATGGTCTGAGGTCTTGAAATAATCGGTTTGTGCTCAGACATCCAATTTGCTGGCAGATGATGGAAAGCAGTGCATGTCATACTGTTGTGCATTGCAATTATAATAATAAAAACATTTAAGAGGCTCAACACATGCAGCGCACTTAAAGGACTCAAATTGTGATTTATCCAAATTTATTCAAGCAATATTTTCAGTATTGGCTTTAGAAATGGACCACCTTATTTCTTTTTAACTCAGATTCAAGTTAAAGGCCTTCTAAACATGGCTAAATGTTTAACATTTAAAACTGAAAAATACACTTCAATGTCTCCATTTTTCATTCTGTCTTATAAAGGAGACTGGAGAACATTGTGAGGGTTCTGCAATATGACTGAAGTAGAAATAATTTTGAATCAAAAATTGATTTTGAACTGAGTGAAAGTGAAAGATTCCAAACATGAAATCAATAAATAGCAGCAACAAGAACTATATTGAAAGACGTTCATTCTTATTACAGATAATCAGCTGTAATAGGAAACTTTGAGGTCAAAGTTTTCACTGACCATATTAAGAGGTCAAGCTTGTTGTGCGGTGCTTCCTGTTGGTGGATCCAAACTATCTCTGTTCTCCAACACCAGTGTGAAAAACGCTGAGCGAAACTAAACGTTAATGAACAACGAACCAAACAAAACTCCGACATATTTCAGCCAGGGTGTGCAGCTCTGTGTTCGTCTTAATCATGACTGTCATTGACTTTTCTTAACCACTTCCCCATGCTGTCATTCGGTCACCGCCTCGCCACAGCAGCTCTTTGCAGGAAACACACACACACACACGCACACACACAATGAAACTACAACTGAAAGTTGTTGTGTAAGTGGGCTTTCATGGAAGGGGTAGGTGCTTGAAAAAAACCTTTCCGCCTCTCCTCCACCTCTTTCCTCTTTCAGGCAGTCACTCTTTCCCCTGACCAGAGGAAAACAACATGGCCAGTCATTCCTCCTGTCTATCCCTCCATCTCTTTCTCTCTCTCTCTTCACCCTCCGCTCGAAGGAAATGCAGAATCGGAGGCACAGAATGAGACCGTAGGCGAGGGTATATGACTGTTTTCATGAGCATGTGTGTGCCCAAATGTACGAGCCTGAAAGAGTTTATGTGGCATTGCGTGTGTTTAAAAATGTTTGTGCAAGTCTCCCACTAACATTCTGGTGCCTGGGTGGTCAATAAATCTGACACGACTGAGCAAAACAAACTATTGGAGCGTAGTATATTGCCAAATTTTGCTTGGACTGTATTTTATTTTAGCTACACTCATATTGATGGCTCAGAGATTAGAAATACAAGGTTGGCTAAGACAAAGAAATATAACCCATCTTGCTTGAATGTCATCTGCAACACATATGGACACTTCTTGTTGCAAAAAGCATCAGATAAGAGGATGAACAACCGGATGAATTTGCATCAAAGCATCCTTCAAATCTGTTGGCACTTCTGGTTGAGATGAGTAGTAGAATCTCACAGTGAATCTCGACCGAGTTTATTTATTCAGTAGGAAAAAGAAAATCATTTTGTGGTCAATTTTTAAAAATCTCGTTTAAAAGAATTCAGCTTTATTTAATAACCAGTGTTTTTTGTCCCTCCAAAAACCTAAAAATGGCGGTACAGAATAAAATTTCTTTCTCAAACTATTCAAAATGGGAAAGACAAGAAAATGGACATTGAAGTAAATGTGTGTTTACATGGCAAGAAATGTAATAAAAAACATATACTTGTTCAAACTTGTAAATTTTTACAGCCTAACAAAAAAACTGAAAGGTACCAAATAAGTCTGAATGCCAAAGTTTATGTTCCCACCACAAAAAGTGAGCAGGTCAGAGGGAAAAACCATTTCCAAAGCTTTTTGTCTGTGATTTTTAGCATACAGAAAAGACTCCGGAAAAACTATAGACGGTACTATCTTGAAGAAGCATTAAAAAAAGAAAAAAAAAAAAAATAATCATGCAATATTTGCTAAACTCTGCTAAGATTCAGATGGAACAGTCTGTGGTGGTCAGATTGAAAATGAACACCAAACCTATCAGCCATCATGCACATTCTTGAAAACTGAGGAGAAGAGTGGACAGTGTACGTAAGAATGATTAAAGATCCGTCTGAACCAACCTTTTAAAATGTTATAGGAGTAGAGTATGTGATTTCCCACTGGACTGACAGGATGGTTGTCAAAAATTATGTCTCAAGTCTTTTTTTCCCCCTCTCTCATTAAATAAACACACAGTGGACCACCACTAATTCACGTTTTAGTGTTACCTGATGTTTTAGTGGCGTGTCACTCCACAAAAATGTTTTGGAAAGCCACATATTCATATAATTTTTTGAACAGTGTGAAGTTGAATTAATGCTAGCAAAGCAGCCAATCCAGAAGCTGCATTCATTTTCCTTGATACTGATTGGCTTTACCCCAATTAACAGCTTCTGTTGGGGTTTTAGTACTGTTTCATATTATATCGAATTATTAACATCAAAATATGCCGTTAGAAGTATTCATTTCTAGGTACTCATAGATTCTAAGTGTTCATGGATGGCTGTGATCTTCAACCATCACAAATGGATTCAAATCTATGGTTAGATTTTAGTCTAAAAAAAAAATCACTTTTCTAGAAATAAACTTTTTATTAAGACTTCAAATATGGTGAGCCATTGTTGTACTGAGCAACTGTGACTTGATTAGTAATTAAACTTTCTCTCATGTATGTATTTAGCCAAGAACTTAGAAGTTAATAAAACTACAACCTTCAATATAATCATAGAGCAAATCATAGAGTAATTTGTTACAGTGATTTTCTTATGCACTTCTGTGGGGTTTCCATTGTTATTTATTTAGCTAATTATACATTTAATTTGAAAATCCAGGAAAAGATTAATAATGAAGTGTTATGAAGTTCAGAGAATCCAAAAGCAAAGCGTCGTGATGGATAAACAGGACTAAATCGTCAGATTATGGAGGACGGACTGCAGCAGAGATGGGTAGCCCTGATAATCTCTTCTGTCCTAACCATTTAAGAACCATTGCATAACACGAAATAAGGCTGATAGCAAACTTTCATGTATATTAAAAACTGCTTAATGCCTTCCTACTCAGTAAGGAGCCATTTCTCATCATGATTATGCTGCGTTTTCCCTCCACAGCGATCTATCTGCAAAGCATGGTCAATGAATCATGAACACCTACTCACAAGTCATTTTGTGATAGAAAATAAAGATTTCTGATGTTACTCAAATTATGTATGAGATGCCTACACATTTTCCATGCTCACCATAGCAGTTAAAGCTACAGTTAAGAGCGCCTGGACCTAAACTATGGATCTTTGTCTCTGCGAGTAACATGTGAAATGTCCATCTGTGCAAAAAATAAAAACGTCAAACTGTCATCTGTAGTTTCTAAGACTTTCCAGGGCTGCATATGTAGGTGGCAGTTAACATGCAAATGACAAAGTCACTTTGTTTCCTTTTTTCCCTTTTTCTCACCCTACTCCTCCTCCTCCTCCTTCTGTCTTATACATTAAATCAGGAGGCACAACCAAACAGAGCGAGGCATCATAACATTTTCCTGCAAAGACTTCAAGATAGCAAAATGGCGATTATATTATACAATGATCAAGATCGGCTCAAACTGAAAAGACTGGTCATATCTCCATCTGGCTGGAATGAATAAATGAAGAGTGCTGACCACATCTTCACCACTAACCCCGACGTGTTGCTGTTAAACAAGACAGATGCTCCACTGAACCAACATGGGATGACTGTGCCGGGTGTGTAGCTGTCTGCATGTAAAGCAGGGAGCGCTAAAAAATAAGCAGAGCTCCTCAAACAAACACCAGATGAATATGGCATGAAAAACAGCTTTGTGGGTTTTCAGCTGCTATGCAGACACTGAGCAGTTAGCTGGTCTTTTGTGCATCTGCAATCATCTGTTTCAACTTTGGCAGACAAACTCACTGAAGTGAGGGAAAAGTACCCAGAATACTCTGTGGTTTTGCAGATCTGGAAGGAAAGTTCTTCAACGTTATTCTGGAGTTAAATTTGACAGCTACTTTCCCCCCCTGTTTTGAAAAAGGTTAGTGTAATATATCCACGAAGTTGAACTGGCACCAATTAAGGTTTGATCTAAAATGAAGGCAATTTCTAAAGACATTTTGTTGTACTGACATAATCTTATGTTTGCAAGATAAAATTGTGGTGTAACACGATTCTGCTCATGGTGGCAGCATGTTGGAGCGGCTCTGTTATTTTAGTTCTGACTTGTTCTTTTTGTGGACTTTTGTTCATAATGGGTTTAGCTGAGGCATTGCATGTTTTGACAATTATTCCCTCTGGTTTTGGATGTTGTGCACCTGGAAGGATTTTTGCTCTTTTTTTTAAAAAACTATTGGAGAGTTGCTATGATCTGTAAACATGGCAACAAGGTATTTTTCACAATTGGGAAAAAGCTCTATTAATACCTGAACTATGACCCCAAATCCTAAAGGAGTTTAAAATGAGTTTCATGGATACAGGGCAGGACAAAAGAGCAGAGACAGAAGGAAGAACTTCAAACTATTTCTTATGTTTAGGATGCAATTATTGTATCACTTTACATTTGTCGTGGTATATTTCCCATCATAAGAATTTTGATTTATCATTATCACAATAAATTACAATCATTGTTTTTTTGTTTTTTTAAAAAAAAAAAACAAAGTCTAAAGAAGCAGAGAGGTCTGAGAAGTCTTTCTAGGACATGTTGAGACCTTCAGTAGATAACAGGAAGGATGAATGTATTATAGCAAAAACACTATGTTTTGAGCTTTAAGCCTCTGTGATGGAACATGCTTGATTTGGCAATGTTTGCTGCCTTTCAGATATATAAAAGTTAAGGATCAACATTCTCTAAGGAGGATAGTAAG